GGGCCGGCCGCGGTGGGCGCCACCAGGGGGGGGGGGGGGGGGGGGAGGACAGGCCGGGGCACGGGACCACATGCCCTCTGCCTTGCGGCAAGTCGCTTTCTCCCTGGGCCTGCCTGCCCTCAGCCTCTCTCTCCAGTTGGCAGAACTTACAGGGCTTTAACTACTTTTCCTGTTTGCTTCCTCCAGGCAGCCATCCTGGCCCACCCCTTGATCTGTTGAAGGGGACTAAATTTACCTGGAATTTACCCTCCACCCACTCCTAGTTTTTTGGGGGGAAGGGAGGGGGGGCAGCCTGTCAGGGGCCCTCAAACCCCCACTGAGAGGACTTCCTGAACCTCAGTACCTGGCTCCCACAGGTTTTGTGATGCAGAGTTGGAGTGAGGGCTGACCCAGTTATGGTTCAGGGTTTACACCACCTCCATAATAAAGAGAGGGGTGGGGGGAGCCTTCCATCCACACTTCCCCTTCTGGAGCCAGGACTCCCTTCTCTGTCGCTCCCACTTTAGCTACTTGGCTGTCCAGCCTGCTCTGACCCCAGGCACCCAGCCCCCACCCAGAGGCAGCCCATGCAGGGGCTGGCGTAGGTTTGCCCTGGGCTCAGACTAGGCCGTATGGTGTGAGTGGGCCTCACTGCATGACTGGCGTGCACGTCGCATGTCACAGCTCCAACACCTACCACTTACTGCTCCCTTGGCCTGTCACCGCCCACGCTGACCTCAGCGTCTCCTGCACACTGGACAGTAGGGGACGAGGAGGTGATAACACGGGGTGGCAGAGTCGCTGGAGCAGAGCTGGGCAGATCGGGTGGTGCTGCTAGGCTTGGCCCTGGGTCATGCTCATCTCTGAGGCCCACGGGGTTCCTTGTGGGACGGAACCCCCTCCGCACGTACCCGAGAGGGCGCCAGTGGGGTCTGGGGAAGAAGCTGGTGCTCACAGGTCCCTCGTTTGACGCCGAAGCCGTGGTTTTCTCCAGGCCCCTCTGCGTCGGCTACGCCGTGCTCCAGTCTAACCTCCAGGTCCCCCCACAACCTCCGGGACCTCTGCCGGGAACATCTCAAACCTGGTCTTGACCTGACAGTTGGCATTTAATATGCTGTTATTTTAACCTATCCCCCCAAATTATTATTTTTTATTAGCTAGAGGGCACATGTGCTCACCAGAGACACAGAGAGTGGAAGGAGGAAAGCACCCCGAAAGGGGATGGCCACGCCACAGTCCCTTCTCCTCCATTCTTCTCCTGGGATTTTGGGCACATATGCACACATACCTGTCATGTTTTTCAAGCCACTAGGTCCAGGATCGAACCGTGCATTCAGCCATGTGAGATCCAGCCCCTTAACCTCCAGACCTCGGGGCTGGCCCTCCCTCCAGATGACCTCTAAGTCTGTGCTGCGTCACGGTCAGAGGTGTTTTCGTCACAGCCGAGTGGCCTTACTGCTGAGACTGGCCAAGTCAGCCTCTCCGAGGTCAGAGGCAGGAGTCCTTGTGGGGACAGGCCCAGCGGCGGAGTTGGTGGGGGCAGCCCTCGAAGCCCAGTCAGTCCCTCATGCCCAGCCCCCAGAGTGCCTCCTAGCATGGCTATGAAAAGGAGGGTGGGTGAGCGAAGTGGGGAGGGTGTGGTGGAGGCTGGATGGGGAAGGTCAGGGAGACAGAGGGTTTTGAGCTAGGTCTTGATGAATGAGTAGGAGTTTTCCAGGTGCCAAGTGGGAGAGGTGCCAGCGTGTATCAAGACAGGGAGCTGTGACGTGCAGGGTGTCTCCTAGAGACGGGGGGACAGCTGGCCGCAGGAGCCTGGAGGGCAGCGGCAGAGCGGACATGTCCCAGAGGCAGGAGAGGCCATGGCACTGCGTGTGGGATTCTCACTGGGCACCGGAATCCAACCTGCATTTCAGAGACCACCCGCAGCACCAGGGCCGCCCAGCCAGCCCCACGCCCGCCCTCGCTTCGCTTCTGCAGTGTCCCTGGGGGAAGTCACAGTCCCAGCTCTCCCGTGGGGTGCCGCCCGGGGCAGCATCACACAGATTCCCAAAAAACCCGACTGTCCCCAGAACCACAAAGGAAGGATCTCGGAGAGACTGGTTTGAGAACTGAAACTGCTGCCGTGATGGGCGGGGAAAGGGGAACTCGGAGCAGAAAGCCTTCAGAGGGCAGCTGGGGCATTTTCTGAAATCCCAAGTACTCCGAGCACGGCCAGCCGCCCTGCTCCAGGGCCAACCCCAGGAGCCACTCAGAATGAACGCGAGAAGGCTGGCTGTGCCGTGAGCACCCGCGGAGACTCTGGGGCCTCGAGGGAGCTCAGCCCCTCCTTGCCCCATTCCCAGGTGCAGGGCCCTCCTTCCTGATGTCACATCGGCCAGACCCCAGCGTGTCCTCTCAGAACGAGGCATGCGGGCCCACGTCCGCACACCTGGTTGCGTGCATCACTATGTAAGTGTGCCGTGCAGTGCCACTTACAGTGTCACCACTCTGCCCTCCCGCAGGCCAGGGTCTAACGGGCACATTCGCTGTGTGACTCAGTGGGTGGCCGAGCTATTTCTAGCTCACTCTCGCCACCTCTTTAAGCACACGTGCAAATCTATCCGGAGAGCAAACCCCCAGGATGGGTTCTGCGTTACGTAAAATTTTGACAGAAACCTGTTTCCAAGTTATTCCCCAAAGAGCTTCTGCCAAGATCGATCTCTACCCACAGGGTAGGGTCTGCACACCCTCCTCGCCCCGATTTCTGGGCACCCCCATGCCCGCCATGGCCACTCGCCCCTGAGCAAGAGGCTGAGGCCACCCACCTGGTATAAAAACATTTATTTTACTTGTTGCTTTATATTAAGCCCCGTGTTCACTTAGTTGTTTGGTTGTTTTGTGTTTGCGTGTGCACGCACTCACCAGGGAGAAGCCCCGTGGGAGAGGGAGAGGGCTCACCCCCAGGGGCCCTGGTCCCTTCTCCATCTCTCCCTCCAGTCAGGGATTTGCACAGACAACACGCGTGCCTGGCATGTTTCTCACGCGGTTGAGGCTGCGATCAACCCATGTGGTCAGCCGTGTGGCATCCAGCCCCCTTAACTACCAGGCCATAGGCCGGCTCGTGGTTAGGTTTTCAGTCGGTAACGAGATACGCAGATGTGGCCAGGCAGACAGCCCGGCCGGCCCTGCAGCCTGCTCCCCGCCACCCACGCCCCCGCAGCAGGACCACTGCACCCAGCGCCCCTTCTCCTTCCGTTCGGATCCACACATACGCCTCCTGTCCGTCCACCGTCTCCTCTCCTGCCCTCTGTCCTTCGCAAAAATGACAGCGTATTATTTTTGCTGTTGCTTTTTCCCTCAGTGTCTGGCAAATAGCATTCTGGCACGAGGTATGTCCTGGTTTTTTCAATACCTTCAGAGCGTCACATTTTATGGGTGTGTCCTTACCCCCGCTCCTTCGCCAGCTGCTTTTTCACTTGGTGTGCTGTGCAAATATTTTTCACTTTGATGTAGTTGCAGTTTCTGTCATGGCCTCTGGTGTTTGACTCATCCTTAGAAGGGACTTCTTTGGTTTGAGATTCTACAAAATATTTCCCATGGTTGAGCCTGGTGATTTTATGCGTCATTTTTCATCTTTAAATATGAACCATCATACATTTTTGTTTTATGTGACATAGGAGCCAACTTGATTCTTTTCTTGGGGCTATCCAGTTGTCCCCATCCCATTTATTAAATTATCCATCCATTTGTAGTAACTCCTTAATTATATTACACACTCCCATCCGTGTTCGAGGCCTCCCACAGTTGTCATCCTGTGCCATGCTGTTCTAGTTATTGTAGCTCTGGAGTTTTGTCTTAATAATTGCTAAGGCTAGTTGGACTTTCTTATTGTTTTCTTCCTTTTCCTTTTTTTAATGCACTGACTGTTTTTGCTTTTGAACTTTTAGAGTCAACTTGTCTACTTCAAAACGAATCCTATTAGTACTTTATTATGTATCATTTATAGACTGAATTAGGGTCCACTGGCATCTCTCTGATGGCGTGTTTTTCCTTACATACATAGCATGCATGTCGGTTTCTTCTCATCTCTGCATATTAATTGCAGGTCCTGCTAACTTGCTGGATTCTTCGGTTGCTGATGATCGACTCAGGCATCTCCCACCTATAAACACGCCACCTGAAAATAACAGCAGCAGTAATAGTAACACCCCAGGCTCCTCTCCGGCTTTTGCGGTTTTGTCCAGTCGCACTAGCGAATACCCTCAGGAGCGCGCTGGCTAAGAGGGGTGATGGGGCATGCCCGCTCTGTCCTGGCTTGGCTGGAGCGTGGCGGCTCACAAAGCCGTGTTGGCTTCAGCCGTGCACTTACAGAGGAAGGCTCCATCTATCCCCATTTGACATAGACTTTTTATCAAAATGAATGTTAAGTTTGTCAAGTGCCTTTCGGGGTTTCTACTTCAAGCTGGGCTGCGGCCTGTCAGTGTGGACCAGAAAGTCACCAAAGGGTGCCTGGTGGCTCTTACGGTCCCTGCACCGCGTGTTTTCAGCTGCAGCAATTATTAAGACAAGACTCCAGAGCTAAGAAAAGCCCACCGGCTTAACCCAAAGGAAGTCTGTTACCCTCCCAGACCGAGAACCCAGAGGCAGCAAAGCCCACCGGCTTAACCCAAAGGAAGTCTGATCCCCTCCCAGACCGAGAACCCAGGGGCAGCTGCCGTGGGTGAGCTGTCGGGGCCCAGCCATGTCAGCCAGGCTCTGCAACCTGTGGGCTCCATCATCCCCCAGCGGGGTCACAGGATGACCAAGTGTCTGCAGACAGGGCTCTTCACTCGAACAGGAGTCTCCCGTGGGGTCCTCCCCAGCTGTCCCCTGGAGCCTGTCCTTGTGTCTCAGGGCCGGTCTGTGCCTTAGGGCAGCCTGTGAGATCCATCGGTCCTATTCTCTGAGTCCCTCTGTGTCGGGTAAGTGCTTGTCTTTCTCCACGGCTGTCTGCTAGTGTGCCTGTCCACATGCCCCGGATCACGGAGCCGTCCCTGTCCACGTGCCCTGGATCATGGAGCCGTCCCTGTCCACGTGCCCCAGATCACGGAGCCGTCCCTGTCCGCGTGCCCCGGATTACGGAGCCGTCCCTGTCTGCGTGCCCCGGATTACGGAACCGTCCCTGCGTTGGCTGTGACTAGGCAGCTGGGATGTCCCCATGTGTTGTCGCCGCTCTAGGCGTTTTTGAGTCTGAACTTGGTCTCTGCTCTGGCCGCTGCCTCTCTTAGGCCAGGGTCCTGGACGTCTGGCCGCAGCTCAGCAGTGCCATCGCAGGCAGAGCAGGGTGCAAAAGCGCCAGGACGTTGGGGCACAGGCCCGGCTGGGGGGGCTGCCGAGGCCCACCGGGAGCTGACTGCCCGGGCACTACCCCGACCCTTTTCCTGGGACTGGCCGGGGCAGTGAGTGGGCTGTTTAGGATGTGCTGCTTCCATGTGTGAGTCATTTTGCTGCCTCCGGCCCCCAGGGAAGGGGCCTGGTGGGGGCCTCGGCATGGACTGCCTGGAGGCCTAGGACAGGCAGGAGGAGAGCACTTCTGTTTGTTCAAAGCCACTGATTGCCTGGGGTGAAACCAGGTCTCAGCTCGCTCAGCACGTCCAGGGGCCGCAGGGCTGAGTGCACCCAGCGCTGCTGCACTGTGTCCAGGCTGTGCGTGCAGTTGCTGCAGGGGACAGGGTGGTGGGGGACTCTGTTGGCCTCTGGCCTGCTCAGGCTACTCTGTCCTTTCTGCACAGAATCATCTCAGAAAACAGACGTGTGGCCCCTGACTGTGGACGGGCACGCGGCACGTATTTGCGCCTTACGCAAGTGGGGACTTGCCCTGGGCTCGTGCCCGCACAGTGCACTAAGGGGCAGGGTCCAGCACAGCCCTGAAGCAACTGTGGACACCGGGTTTCTACTCCACCCTGCCCAAGGCCTCTCTTCCTGGAATCCTGCCCCTTCACTCTGCCAGCCCCACTGAGAGAGCCAGTGTCCCCATGCAGTGACAGGTCGGGACAGAGCTCAGGACCTGCAGTGCTGCCCTGGGGGACAGAACACTCGGGCCTGCAGTTGCTGTGAGTGGTGAAACCACCTGTGGCTGAGCCCCCAGGCTGAGGGGGCCTGGCAGGCCGTGCTGGGGAAGGCGAGCCCGGCTACGATTGCTTCGTTCCCGAGTCTCGGGCGGTGCTCCTTTTCCTTCCAGATCTGTTTTCCTAAAGGGGTCCATCCTTCCCTGCCTGCTCAGGGCGCCTTTGACTAGAAGGCGACCTGCACTTCACTGTCAGCCACGCCTGCCCTGCACACTTTCCACCCCCCCTCCACTCCAGGTGTCCGGAAATTGGGAACTGTCAGCTGTTCAAGGCCTTGGCGGTGGCTGCTGCTCTGTCACCTCGAAAAAGGAGGCAGGAAGCTCAGGTGACCCCCAAGCACCCACAGTGGGGCTGTCACTGGGAAGCCAGCACCTGGCAGTGGCCCCGAGGCCTGCCCGGGGGACACAAGGTGAGGGGCCTACTACCCTCTTGAGGTGAAGCCTCACTCTTTCAGCTGAGCAAGCACGTCTTGGCTTTGGGCTACACCGGAGGCCCTGGCCCAGGGTGTACAGTCAGCTTGCTGTCCATGTCCCTTGGTCACCCTCCAAGGGTGGGTGACAGTGGTCCATACCCTCGAGACCAGCTAGCTGGATGCAGCAGCTGGCTTCAAGCTAGGATCTGGGAGAGCCCGGTGGGCGCAGCCTATACCCCGGTGGTGTGTGAGCCACCTTGATCCCTCTGCCCCTGCTGGCAACCCCAGAGGGGCACTGCCCAGCACCTCCACCCAGCCAGGTGCAGACAGTTCTAGGGGAAAGGATACAGAGAGGGACTCCCCACCCCAGTGGCCGCACTGCATTAGGAGGGGATCCAGGAAACACCAGCCCCGGAACTTCAGCAGATAACCTGATCTTGTGTAACTCGTACCTTCCGTGAGAATTCTGGCAAACACCAGGTGAGATTTCAGCAGGCACCTGGGGACAGCAGCCGAGGCGGAGAGCAGAGAGCGAGCCCAGGCAGACAGCCCGGAGGCAGCAGCTCTGGGTTGGGGGTTCCGGCCTTTCCAGTTCTCAGCTGTGTGACTGTTGGTAAAGCACCCCATCTCTCTGAGCCTGTTTCTTTACCTGTAAAGCAAGAATGAGAACACCTATCTCAGAAGTTACGGGAAGAGGGACGGCCACAGAGCACGCACGCAGTGGCTGGCACCGAGCTGCGGCTGTTCTTTATGTCATTATCACCTTCTTCGGCCTGGCAGGAGACGTGAGAAAGCTCCCCGCCAGATCCCCACCTCCAGGCCTACTAAGGGGGCAGGCTGTGCTCGACAAGACGGGGGCTGTATTCACGACCTCTCCCTACACAAGTTACCCCAAAACGAACTGGCTTAAAACAAAAACATTTGCCCTCTCACGGTTTTGGCAGGTCAGGAATTGGGCATGGCTTAGCTGGACTCTCTGGCTGGAAATCTTTGCCTGTCTGAGCCAGGTGTTGGGTGCAGCCGTGGTCTCATCTGGAGGCACGACCAAGGGCAGATCCACCTCAGGCTCAATCGTGTGGTTCTCAGAACGGGACAGTTCCTTGAGGACTGTTGAACTGAACCCCAGTCCCTCACTGTTGGCCAGAGGCTTCTCTCACCCCAGGGGCCTCCTCACAGGCAGTGTCTTCCATCAGAACCAGTAAATGAGAGGAGAGGGGACACAAAGACAGAAGCCACAGACTCGTTATAACCTAATCTGGGAAGCAACAGTCTATCACATTTTGCCTTGTAGCAGTCACTATTTTCTTTGTCCCTGTCAGCCCAGTGGGGCAGGCTGTCCATGCCTCCACTCATTCAGCCCAGAGTCCTCAGCTCCCCACCTCCAGGCCAGGTGAAAGAGATGGGTGCCCCCCCCCCTGTCAGGGCACAGAACATCTCTGGGGTGGGAACACAGGGCGGGGGTACCTGGCTGCTGCAGGGTGACCTGCCTCTCGTCTTCATTTCCGTGCTGGGGCCCAGTGCCTTGCAGGGACCCAGGCAGGTCTTTCTCACCCCACCCTGGAGGAGAAAAGACAGAAGTTCCCCAGGAGAGACAGGTGGCTGTGAGCACAGAAGGACCCATAGCTGCCAGCCAGGTGAGGCTGCTGAGTACAGGAGGGACCGTAGTTGCCAGCCAGGTGAGGCTATGAGCATGGGAGGGACTATGCTGTCAGCCAGGTGAGGCTGAGAGCACAGGAGGGACCGTAGCTGCCAGCCAGGTGAGGCTGCTGAGTACAAGAGGAACCGTAGCTGCCAGCCAGGTGAGTTGTGAGCCTGAGAGGGACCATAGCTGTCAGCCAGGTGAGGCTGCGAGCATGGGAGGGACCATAGCTGCCAGCCAGGTGAGGCTGCGAGCACGGGAGGGACCATAGCTGCCAGCCAGGTGAGACTGTGAACATGGGAGGGACCATAGCTGTCAGCCAGGTGAGACTGTGAGCACGGGAGGGACCATAGCTGCCAGCTGGGTGAGACTGTGAACATGGGAGGGACCATAGCTGTCAGCCAGGTGAGACTGTGAACATGGGAGGGACCATAGCTGTCAGCCAGGTGAGACTGTGAACATGGGAGGGACCATAGCTGTCAGCCAGGTGAGGCTGAGAGCACAGGAGAGACTGTAGCTGTCAGCCAGGTGAGGCTGCGAGCACAGGAGGGACCTTAGCTGCCAGCCAGGTGAGGCTGTGAGCACAGGAAATGGCCCGGCAGATAGAGAGGTGCTGTCAGGGCTGCGTACACTCCAGCTTGAAGACTTCTTTGGTCCAAGTGCATATGAAGTAGGGCAGTGACTTTTTTTTGAGAGGTTTTTGCTATAGGGCGCGTGTGCTCGTCAGAGAGACAGAAAGCGAGAAATCACCCCCCAGGGGGATGGCCACACCACAGTCCCTTCTCTTCCATTCTCTTCCTGGGATCTTGGGCATGCACACACATGCCCCCGGTGTGAGTTTTAAGCCACCAGGTCCAGGACGCAAACCCCGGTCGACTACATGGGAGTCCAGCGACATAGCCATTATGCTAACTGCTGGTCCCGGGCAGTGACTCTTAACAATTACATGTGAAAATCTAGATACTATTTTGGATATATTAAGAAAAATAAAATGTTATTAAAATAATTACACCAATTTCTCTTTTACTTTTTTTTTTTAAGAGAGTTTTGCTATAGGACATGTGTGCTCGCCGGAGAGACAGAGACAGAAAGTGAGAAATCATTCCCTGGGGAGGCGGCCACACCACAATCCCTTCTCCATTCTTCTCTCAGGATCCTGGGCACACGCACACGTGCCTGGCGTGAGTTTCAAGCCACCGGCTCTGGGACTTAAACCCCAGTCGGCCAGGTGGGAGTCCAGTGACGTAACCATTATGGCATCCACTGGTCCCTTTCTTACTTCTTTAAAATTGCACGTGGGTCGCATCGCGTTTCCACCAGCCCACCACCAGACGGTCATAGCCCCAGCTTGGCCTTTGCCCCTGGTAATCTGGCTACTGGGGCCCTCCTGGTGCACCCCTCTCTCCTGGGCAGCCAGGGAATGACCAGGGGCCCTGTGGCAAATCAGACACGACTGCTGCCGCCTCTTATTTTATTATTTTTTTAAGAATTATTTTATAGGGACCAGCAGTTAGCATAATGGCTATGTCGCTGGACTCCCACGTAGTCGACCTCGGTTCGAGTCCCAGACCTGGCAGCTTAAACACACGCTGGGCGCGGGGGGGTGTGTGTTGTGTGTGCCCAAGATCCCGAGAGGAGGGGTAGAAGGGATTGTGGTGTGGCCACCCCCCCCGGGGGGGTGATTTCTCGCTTTCTGTCACTCTCTCTCTCTCTCTCTCTCTCTCTGTCTTTCTGGCAAGTGCATGCGCCCTATAGCAAAAACCTCTCCAAAAAACAAACAAACAAAAAAAAAAACAAGAATTATTTTATTCAACTTAATTTACTTATTTAAATTTGATCAGAGAGGGACAGAGTGGGAGAGAGAAAGTGAGAAAGCAAGCTGCCAGGTCTGGGACTTGAACCGCAGTCGGCCATATGGGAGTCCAGTGCCCTTAACCACCACGCCACCTGCCGGCCCCTGGTGCCACTTTTAAAGGGGGACTTTTTAAGGCCATCTTCCGTATACCTGATAGAGGAGGCTGCTCGGACCACGATCTGAGCTGCACGGCTGCACCTGGTGTCGGGCCGAGCGCCAGCCCCGCGCCTGAAGGTGCTCACACACCTCACCGCGTGCTCTTTGTCTTACGGCATTTTCCTACGAAAGGGTCTAAGCCAGCTCCCCTGCCAGGATCTGCTGGCTTTTGGAGCCACCCCTGCCCCCCGAGGGACAGGAAGAACTGGGCGGGGGTCTTGCTTGGTCACCTGGGGCTGGTGCCTGAAGGAGCCCTAGGCCGAAGTCGTGAGTGGGGCGGGGAAAGGGGTGCTGGGAGCTGGCCTGCCTGGGTCAGAGTTCACTTTACATACACAGCCCCAGCTACAGCTTGGACACTTTCCTTCCTTCTTTTTTTTTTTTTTTTCCTGAGAGGTTTTTGCTAAAAGGCACATGTGCTCACTGGAGAGACACAGAGACACAAAGAGACAGAAAGAAGAAGTTACCCCCAGAGGGGATGGCCATGCCACAACCCCTTCTCCTCCATTCTACCCTCAGGATTTGGGGCACACATGCACGCACATGTGCCTGGCATGAGTTTTAAGCCGCCAGGTCTGGGACTTGAACCACAATCTACTACATGGGAGTTCAGCGACATAACCATTACACCATCCACTGGTCCCTTCCTTTCTTCTTCTTAAAGTTTATTTTTTCCATGAGAGAAAAAAGGGACTCTTGATGGGGCCTTCATGCCAGGACCCACGGCCAGCCTCAGCTGCCTGGATCATGAGCCTGCACATGCCCGCCCAGGGAGGTCCTGGGACGTGAGCCCAGCCTGTCCCACGGGGTCCGGCCGTATTACCGCTGCCCAACTGCAGTCCCTTGAATACGCGTTTAACCGTCTCTGGGCTTCAGTTTCCTTCTCTTTAAAATGGGGGATCATGGTACCAGTTCCCTCGAGGTGCTGCAAGTGTCCCAGCTCCCAGTGCCCCCTCTCCACCTGCTGCTACCTAACGGGGAGTGCCCGCGCGAGCCAGTCACCTTGGTTCCGCCGCTAAGACTGTCCTCGTAGGCTCCGGGCATGCCTGCCCCCGCTGCCTCTGCCCACTGTGCTGGAGTTGGGCACGCATCAGACGGGGGTGGGCTGGATGAACGGGGGAAGTCAGCGTGCCTTGCAAACACACGAGGTGTGCGCTATGTTTGATTGTGGTCCAGGCTGTGGGAGAACGAAGCCCAGGAGGGAGCACGGGCGCGGGGTGATGTGGCCAGGATAGAGCCCCCCAAAGGCGGCATTTGAAGAAAGGCCTGAAGGAGGTGCGGCGGCGAGCTCTGCCAATATCTGGAAGAACAAGTTTCTGGGAACAGCAAGTGCAAAGGGGTCAGCAGGTGCGCAGGCCACGCAGCAGGAGTGCGCCGGGCGGGTGTGAGATGGGAGAAGCAATGGGAGACCAAGGTCTGCGGCCGCGGGTGCAGGACTGGGGCCTCAAGATCATCTCAAGGGCTTTGCCAAAGTGGGGGCTACCGAGCAGAAGGAGCAGCCTGCGTGGGCTCGGTGCCTCGGGGCTACAGGGCGAGGAGGAAGCCAGAGCCTCAGGGAGGACTCCAGGCGAGGAGTGAGTGTGGCCGGACCAGCGGGGACAGGGAAGAGGTGCCAGCTTTTGGATGTGACTTGGAGGAGCCGGGAGAATTTGCGGATAGGAAAGGACGTGAGAGAGGAGCCGAGGCGTGTCTGGTTTTGACCTGAGTGGCCAGAGGAAGGACTGGCGTCCCCTGCAAGGCGGGCGATGTGGAGAGGGACTTGGTGCAGGTCCAGGCGGGCCGTGAACTGGTGACTACCGGCACAGGACAGCACTGGGCCGAGACTGGATGAGCCCACCCGGAGGAGGGGGTCAGTGGAGGCACTGGGGGAGGACGCGTCCAGCCACACTAACCTTCTGCCTTGGAGCTGGTCTGCTAAGCAGGGAGGGTCATTTCTGCAGTGCCACCTATGCCCGTGAGTGTCCGTTTAGATTCACAGGCAGTGTAGATCTGCCCCCTGGGGACACTTCCCCGAAGGGACGTTTGGCAATGCGTGGAGGTGCAGGGGTTGTTGTGACCTGGGAGGAAGGGCTGTGCTGACCCTGCCAGCTCCAGGTAGAGGCTTCCACTGCGGTGCTTAGCACCCCAGACATACAGATGGGCGCCCTGCCCGCGGGCAGCATCTGGCCAGGTTACAGCAGCGCCCAGCCGAGAGCCCTGCTCTGAGTCTGTGTTGGGTGTGAGGATGGAGCTGAGCCAGCAGGGAGCTGCCAGCGCCTGGGTGCTGCAGTGAGGTGCCCAGGTACCTTTGTCTTCACCCTACACGGATGTGACACAGCATGGACGCTTGGGCAAATCACGTCACAGTGTTCTGTGGGGCAGAGCCAGCACCATTGACGAGGCCTCAGATGCCCGTGGGATGGGGTGGAAACGGGCCAGGGGCTGATTAGGAAAAGGAACACGAACTAGCCACAGTGGCGTGTGGCTGAAACATGCACCCCCAGCTGGGACAACACGGGAGGTGCGGGTCTAACCTACAGGCCATGCCGTGGAGGTCCTGGAATCCTGGTGACTCCAGAGCCGGGGGCAGGAGTACCGTGAGCTTGAGGCCAGCCCGGGTGACACGGCAAGGTCCTGTCTGAAACAACTGGTGAGGTGGTGCCCTCGCCACCCTAGCCAGGAAGCTGAAGCGGGAGGACTGTAACAGGGAAAGGGACAGAGGAGCAGTAAGGGTAGGCCTCTATCTTCCACGACGAGTTCTTCCTGAAATACGTGCCGTTACCGTCTTTTCTTTAAAGCGAATCCGAACCTCCCTAAGGAGTAGAGGGAAGTAGGCATGGGCACGGATGCCGAGGAAGCCCGGAGCCCGCGTCCACGGCCCGCTGGCTCTCCTTGTACTGCCTTGGCCTCCACAGAGGTTGTACGTTGAGAACAGAGAACGCTCATGGCCAAACAGACCTGGGTTTGAATCCCGGCCGGTGCACCGTCTGTCCTGAGCTCATGTGGAACCTGCCCGAGCCCCGTCCCTACGCGGTGAAGCAGGGTCAGTGCCCCCTCTGTGGGCACTGAGGACGGACTGCCCGCTGTGGAGCGCCTGGCGCAGGGCTCCATCCAGCGACCTGGTGGTGCGAGACTTCCCCTGGGACCCAATGAAGCAGTAGGGACCCATTTACCCTCGCGCCTGACGCCGCCAGTAACATAGAAAGGGGGTAGCGTGGCCTCGGAAGCTGCGCTTTCACTGTGGCCCGAGAGATGGGAAACGAGGTGAGCCTGCCCCTGCACCGCTGGGCCGCCCTGAGAGTTTCCACGCTGTGGTGTAGACAGGGGAGACCCAGGTGGAGCACACTGGATTCCGTGGAGGGACAGAGCCGAGAGTCCGGGAGATCGAGGCACCCAGAGTTTTCAGGACAGCAAACCAAAGCGGAGAGAACTACACAGAGAGAACACGCGGGACTTCACCGAGAGGCCTTGCACCTGCACGCGAGGACCCCACTAAGCTCTGTCTCCTGTCTTGCAGGTGCTGCCGGGGAGCGCGAGAAGGTGCCGGCCAACCCGGAGGCGCTCCTGCTCATGGCCAGCTCCCAGCGCGACATGGAGGACTGGGTGCAGGCCATCCGCCGGGCCATCTGGGCCCCGCTTGGCGGAGGTACTGCCCGTAGCTCGCATGCCCGCCCCATAGAACCCTTGTCTCCAGGTAATCACACCTGCGCCTCCCACCCGCCTGAGCCCGGGGCCCCTCGCTGGGGCCTTCTGGTGATGTTTCCCACACAGGCTGGCTGTCCCGTTGCCGCCCTCCAGTCACCACTTCCCCATGGATACAGCGGGAAAATGAGGCCTAGTTTCGAAAACGTGCCCTGTGCTTATCAGCGTCCCAGTCTTTGCTTTGGTGTCCAGACCCCCAATGGACGCCAGTGCACATGGGCTCCACACGTGGCCACAGCAGCTGCATGCTTGCGGGGGATGTCTAAGGGGCTCTGCTGGGCCCCCTCGCTGTGGCCACAAGGGGGACCCTGCCCTGCTGCCCACGAGTGCACTCCCTGTCCCTGATCTGAAAGCAGGAGTTGCCATTACTCGCTTCCTCCTTTAGTTGGAAACATTTACTGGGTGCCTAAAATGTCCCGGGTTTTATTCCAGGTGGTAGGGCTCAGCATAAATAATGCAGGCCACCCTCCTCCCTCTCCTGCCCTCCACTCTGCGGGAGACAGACATGTTTCTGCTGCTGCCTGGTTCAAAACACAGCAAAGCTAGGGCCAGCAGGTGGCATGGTGGTTAAGGCGCTGGACTCCCACATGGCCAACCACAGTTCAAGTCCTGGACCTGGTGGCTTCAAACTCAAGTCGGGTGCTTGTGCTTGCCCAAAATCCTGAGAGGAGAGTAGAGAAGGAACTGTGGCATGGCCATCTCCCCCGGGGGTGATTTCTCACTTTCTCTCTCTCCATCATCTCTCTGTCTCTCTGGTGAGCACACATGCCCTAGGCCGCCCTGAGAGTTTCCACGCTGTGGTGTAGACAGGGGAGACCCAGGTGGAGCACACTGGATTCCGTGGAGGGACAGAGCCGAGAGTCCGGGAGATCGAGGCACCCAGAGTTTTCAGGACAGCAAACCAAAGCGGAGAGAACTACACAGAGAGAACACGCGGGACTTCACCGAGAGGCCTTGCACCTGCACGCGAGGACCCCACTAAGCTCTGTCTCCTGTCTTGCAGGTGCTGCCGGGGAGCGCGAGAAGGTGCCGGCCAACCCGGAGGCGCTCCTGCTCATGGCCAGCTCCCAGCGCGACATGGAGGACTGGGTGCAGGCCATCCGCCGGGCCATCTGGGCCCCGCTTGGCGGAGGTACTGCCCGTAGCTCGCATGCCCGCCCCATAGAACCCTTGTCTCCAGGTAATCACACCTGCGCCTCCCACCCGCCTGAGCCCGGGGCCCCTCGCTGGGGCCTTCTGGTGATGTTTCCCACACAGGCTGGCTGTCCCGTTGCCGCCCTCCAGTCACCACTTCCCCATGGATACAGCGGGAAAATGAGGCCTAGTTTCGAAAACGTGCCCTGTGCTTATCAGCGTCCCAGTCTTTGCTTTGGTGTCCAGACCCCCAATGGACGCCAGTGCACATGGGCTCCACACGTGGCCACAGCAGCTGCATGCTTGCGGGGGATGTCTAAGGGGCTCTGCTGGGCCCCCTCGCTGTGGCCACAAGGGGGACCCTGCCCTGCTGCCCACGAGTGCACTCCCTGTCCCTGATCTGAAAGCAGGAGTTGCCATTACTCGCTTCCTCCTTTAGTTGGAAACATTTACTGGGTGCCTAAAATGTCCCGGGTTTTATTCCAGGTGGTAGGGCTCAGCATAAATAATGCAGGCCACCCTCCTCCCTCTCCTGCCCTCCACTCTGCGGGAGACAGACATGTTTCTGCTGCTGCCTGGTTCAAAACACAGCAAAGCTAGGGCCAGCAGGTGGCATGGTGGTTAAGGCGCTGGACTCCCACATGGCCAACCACAGTTCAAGTCCTGGACCTGGTGGCTTCAAACTCAAGTCGGGTGCTTGTGCTTGCCCAAAATCCTGAGAGGAGAGTAGAGAAGGAACTGTGGCATGGCCATCTCCCCCGGGGGTGATTTCTCACTTTCTCTCTCTCCATCATCTCTCTGTCTCTCTGGTGAGCACACATGCCCTATAGCAAAAAATCTCTCTCTAAAAAAGAAAGATATACAACCAAGCCAAGCCCCGCGAGGGGCAGAGGGACATGTTGGGTGGGATGGTTTAGGAGGCTCAACAGAAAGCGGAGGTGTTCTGGGAAGAGCCTTCGGCAGAGGGACTGGCAGTGCCCAGGCCCTGGGGTAGGAGTGACTTGTGGGAGGAGCACTGAGCACATCAGGAAGGCCAGTGGGTCAGAGGAGTGACAGGAGAGGGGAGGGCCCGAGGCGGGCCAGGTCTCCCGGGGCCCTGGGGCCTATGCAGGGATTTCAGAGTGTTCTAAATGCAGTGGGGTGTCAGGGAGCAGAGACAGACAGGGCCTGACTTAGATGTGTAAAATGAGCCTCTGGCCTCCGTGAGGAGCTGACCATAGAGAAACCGGAGGGGCTGGAGGTGGTGCGGAGCAGTGGGGGCGGGGTGGTGCGGAGCAGTGGGGG